GTGTGTGTGTGTGTGTGTGTGTGTGTGTGTGTTGTGTATAATATGTATGTTATGTATAATATATATGGAGATCAGAGGGCCTTTGATCCCAGTACTCAGGAGGCAGAGGCAGGCAGATCTCGGAGAGTTCAAGGCCAGCTGAGGCTACAGGGAGGCCCTGTCTCAAAAAGACCATAAAATAAAATAAAAAATAAAATATTCTATATAGCACAGGCTGGACTGAAACTTGTGGCAGACCTTCTGCCTCAGTCTTCTGAGTGCTGGGATTACAAGTGTGAGTTATCACACCCAGCTCAGGCAATTTTTACTTTCTAATTTTTCTGTATTTCCTTGGTTCTGTTTGTTTTTGCAATAAACAGGTCTTATACAAGTATAAAGAAGAAAGCAGTCATCACTAATGGTCCACACTGAGTTTCAGTGGCAGGAGGGATGGCAGGGGGCTATGTGTACTCCCGGGGAACGAGTACACGGCAGGGTATGTGCTTGACCTCCACTTGAAGCTTGGGTCCTGCTTAATTGGTTTGTAGATTGCTTCCGTAGCTAGACATCCTGTGGTGAATGAGCCCTTCCAAGATCTAAAGGTATAGAGAAAGGGGCACACCCAGTTACATAGCTGCCCCCACTTTCTCCAGTGAAGTTTAACTCCAGGGTTCCAGAGAACCAGGAGGGGGCCCTATTTGTGAGTTTTAGATATCAAGATGGTGCAGATTCTCCTGAAGAAGGTGGCTTATTACTAAAAACTCATTCTCTGTTTTCAGATCTACCTTTGAGTCATGTCTGTCCCCTAGAAACCTACTTACTTGATTTGTACCCCTTAAAATCATGTTTTTGACTTAAGACACAAAAATATGGCAAGATATGCACCATCTGCAACTGCTAGAAAATAATTCTGAGGTTTCTGCCTGACCACCTGTGTCTTTACCATCATGTAAAACCCACCTAATAGTTTTTTTTCTTTTCTGTCTCTGTTTTACATAACTTGGTGCCAGAAAGTAGGCACCTAATCTTCTATTTGAATCTAGTTCCAAAGGAAATGCAAAAATCATTTAAAATAAACCCAGTTGTGATGGCTCACACCTGTAATTTTAGTACTTGGGAGGCTGAGGCAGGTGGATTTTCATGAGTTTGAAGCTATTCTGTTGCTACACAGTAAGCACCAGGCTACCAGTAACCCGTTCTTTGTTTTGTTTTGTTTTATGGATAGAGTGTTCCTATACAACCTTGGCTAGTCTAGAACTTGTCATGTAGACTAGACTGGCCTTGAAGTTGCAGAGATCCTCCTGCCTCTACCTCTCAAGTGCACAATTACAGATGTATGCCATCATGAATAGCACAAACTGCAACTGCTTTATAACTTAATAGTACATAGTGTCTCCCAGGGTGCCATTTACCAGCCACCCAACCTCTAAACAACAGGACGGACTGCACAGGGAAGATGGCAGAGTTCAATTAGAAAAAGCAATCAGATATTGGGTGTAGGCCCAGCACAAATCTGCAGCATTTCTATTATAAGCTATTTTGAGGTCATTAAACAGTCCTCAGTCATATAATTTTAAATAGCTATGCAACTGATATACATGTCAAATGGAAGTAGCAGAAGTTCATTAGCATAGGCCCATGTCCAGCCACTAAACACCTGTATTCTTTCTAAGGTTCTTACAGAACCATCTTGAAGTTTCCTGTTAAAAGTTTACTGGCCACGATGGACAGGGTGTTTGTACTCCCTCCTTACCTTGTCATGAGGTTCTAAAACTCATCCTACCTTTCTTTTTTTTAATATGTGTGTATGTCTACGTGTATTCATTTGAGTGCAGGTATATGTGCATGTGTGTGGAGGCCAGAGAAGAAGCTCAGATGTCATCTTTGGAAATGCTGTCTACCTCCTTGGGACAGGGTCTCTCACTAGCATTGAGCTCATCATTTAGGCTAAACTGGCTGGCCAGGGAGCCCCAGGGATCCTCCTGTCTCCACCTCCCCAGCACTAGGATTACAACTGCATGCCACAGGGATTGTGAGATGGCTCCATGAGTAAAAAGCACTGGCTGGCTACCAAGCCTGAAAACCTGAGTTCAATCCCCAGGACTCAGATGGTGGAAGGAGAGAAATGACTCCTGCAAATTGTCCTCTGATCTCCACGTTTCCCACGGAGTGTGCACGGAGTATGCATGCATACATGTGTATACACACACACACACACACACACACATATACACACACACACGTCATAAAAAAGAAAATCATTTGCCATCAAACATGGATTTTATGTGTGGTTTCTGGGGATCGAACAAACTCGGGTCCTCATGCTTAAGAGACAAGCACTTTACCCACTAAGCCATCCTCAGCCCCTACCTTTCCATTTATTATTCATTATTCACTTGTTATTTCATGTTTTATTTGTTATAACTGTTGTAAATGTCCTTAAATTTCTGCAGAAAGTCAGGGTACACACCCTGTGAATTGGCAGAATGCTGTCTGAGGGCTTACTCAAACCCAAACTCCTCTGAAAAAACAAAACAAAACAAAAACACAAACCAAACCCCAAACCAAATTAAACCAAACCAAACCAAACCATACCACACCCCACCAAACCAAACCAAACATGAAGGCTGGCAAGATGACTCAGTGAGTTAAGGCACTTGCTGCCAGGCCTGATGACCTGAGTTTGATTCCTGGGACCCACATGGTGGCAGGAGAGAACTGACCCCCAAAGTTGTCCTCTAGACCTCCATATATCCTGTATGTGGCACAAGCACATCCATACGCATACACACACACACACACACACACATACATTCTCTCTCTCTCTCTCTCTCTCTCTCTCTCTCTCTCAGTGTAATTTAATACATTTTTTCTTTTGAGTCCACAATTTTCTTACCCGGTACCGGGGCTCTGGTCGAATCATCATGGACATTCGTGCATGCTGGCTCAGTGGTCTCTTGTATCCTACAGCAGAAACTGGCCGCTTCATCATTTGCTGGTTCCTGTAAACACACTACAGTGGTTAAGGCCCTGCTGGAGTGTGCCCCATGGCCTAGCACTGGGCCTGTAGAGCATGTACTCAGAGCCTCTGTGCCAGGAAGAACCCAAAACATTAACTCCCAGGCTGACAGAAGCTGGGCAGGAACGCTTAGTTTGTTTGTTTGGGGTGTTGTCTGATTCAGATGTGGGTCACATGCTTCTTTTAACCTGGAAGGGATCCCAGTTCTCAAACAGCAGCCATCAAGAACAACTACCATCGCTGCAACCCATGCACCCTTGGCAGACACCTCCATATTCCCAGCATGGCCCAGGTGCAAACTGACACGAGCCCTCTGTACTTCTCCTCCTTTGGTCCAGCACACCTCACTTGTCAGGAGAAATGGAAAAGTTGGAATCATGGGAAAGGCTGTAAGTAGTTCACAGGTGACAAATTTTCCCAATTCTTAATATCACACTTAGCGCCAGGTTTTACCTCATGGGCTTATGGCAGCCACAAAGTCAAAAATGCAATTGGTTCCAAGTTTCAATGAGTTCTCCCCACACCCTAGTGGACAAATACCATCTATTAACATTCTTTCTGTCTTCCCACTTCGGGTCAACAGGGACTTACTCCAGTCTGGTTATAGGATGTAATTTCCAATGATCCTCTTCTTCATCAAAAAAGGACCTATTCATAATTTTATTCTTCTCTTCCAAGGGGATAAAGTTTTCTATAATAAGGTGCTTGAGCTTCAGCTCCCCGGTGAGCTCATTCTGAGTCTGCTCCAACTCTTGGCGCTCCTTGATATGTTCTTCTTGGAGGTCATGGATCTCAGCCTTCACAGCCTGGAGCTTGGAAAAAAGATTTGAGCTTTTTCGTCTTGATGTCTACCTCCTGTTGCAATGAGATGTATGTCTCTAAACTCCAAGGTCTCCTCATCTCGACTTTCCATTTGCTGCTGAATTTCTCTTTCTCAACGTTTCTGCTCTGCAATCTCCTGCCGTTTCTGCTCCAGGATTTTCTGCTGTTCATTTGTATGATCTACTATTTTTTTCCCTCCAACAAGCAGTTTACTCTCCGTGGCCTTGATTTTGGCACCCAGCATCTCAGCAGCATCCTTCTCCTGCCCCAGGTCCTCCATCTTTTTCTCCTTCTCCTTCAGCAGCCTCATCTTCTCCTCTGCAAACAAGCTGTGGTCCTCCACAATGGCCCACTTCTCAATCTCCAGTTTTTCTTGCTGTTCCCGCCAGTAATCATCCTTATCATCCCCTTCCTCTTCACCCTCTTCTCCCTCTTCCTCCTCCTCGTCCCCACCCCCACCACTGCCACCACCTTCCCTCCGCTTCTCTCACCTCTTCCTCCTGCCAATGGAACGCCTCGGGACAAACAATGCCAAAGGGATGTTACCATGGGATGGACACAGGACAAATGTCTCAGAGGTGCAAGTTACTAAGGAACAGAGTGTATACTTGAGAATCACTTTCTTGAGGGGGAAACAATTTAGGGACATGTAAATTTCTTTTATTTGACATTTCAGGAATTATTATTCATAACACATTCTTCTGATTACAAAAGTTCTATTTATGCATAGAAAATGTGAAA